CACCGAAGAAGAAAAGTGGACGCCAGAGATGCTTCACTGTCACAGTGCAAGCTTGTAACATCTGCTCGTCTTATTAAGGATTCATATTACTTGGGCGCGCTTTCTTTTGTGAACACCATAATCGCTTCTGGTCTCTTCCCACAACGCTTCAGACCTGCCCAGAGAAGAATAGGACGCGTATCAGACGTCTTCCTGCCATCTTATCGTCCGCATATAATTAGTTTTACTGCAAGTTTTTCATTTAGGCCAGCCACTGTACTTCCGCTTCCGGCACACAGATTTTTTACGCTCTCACGCGCAAGATGTGAATGAATGTAACCTAAATGTTGCGCTCTTGTTCTCTGACACGGACTTTTAGCTGCACAGATGATTAAGTAATTACACCGCAGTGGGTCGCAGTTGGAGATATAAACTATTGTCTTACGTCTTGTGAGATTTAATTACGTGACTTTGCTCGATGCAGTCAGAATTATTCAGCAATGAAAAGGAAGTTTACTAGATGAAATTATATTGTCAGTTTTCAACTAAACCCCAAATGAATAGTGTGCGTGCTTGTATTCTGTTCTTTTAGTATATTGCTCTATTTTTTCCCCTCGGTTAAATTATGGAGTTGTTTCACACAAAGACTATAATGATCAGGACTTGCAGAGCATTTGCTTAATGGTGTGGGGACAGAAAACATATTTTCCCATTCACGAAAGTGTTTTCTGTCATTGATTAGTGTGATCCTTCGTGAAATAGAAATCCTTTCATGATCCTTATCTATATCCGCCCCTCCTGGATATTTCACTGCATTAATACGGAAATGAGTGAAATTAATTATGGGATGATTTTGTTTAGGGAATAGAAACAGCTTTCTATTTTATTAATATCTTCACGCTCATAAATTTCGACATGGTGTCTAAAGGAACTCTTTAAAGCTTCACAAGTTCTTTCAGCACTCCGAAGGTGTTCAAGAGGGTGGAAAAAATGTGAATGGGAGGAAAGAAATAGGATAAAAGAACTGCTAACTCATTTTCCTCTTCCTAACTTACAGCTTTTTCCAGAAATGAGGGGAAAACCCATATAATTTTCGGGACTGTGGCAATTGATTATTATTCCTGACGGTGGATTGATGTGGCTCGTGATTTCATTAGCACAGTTGCACGAAATGCTGAGCAGTTGCTATTTTCGGTCAAATTATCGCACAAATATGGATTTAAGCAATTGCGGAAATTGGAGATAATTGAATAAATGCCGAGAACAGATGCTTTACTACCCCAAAAACGAACCTTCAGACTGCGAAGGTGCAATTTGCAAATTTTCCCAATTTACCTCAAATCAAAATATATCGAACGACGGAGTCCACATGGTGAAAACATTTCACATTTTGCCCTTCACGAGTAAACAGTGAAAACCACAAATTGCAGAACTTCTCTGTCTGCTTCGCAGCTCTTTCGCTTCTGCAACTCAAAAGCAAATGAGGTGGGATTGGATGTGCTCTCGCCTCCCCCACGAAAATACATCAACGACCATCACATTTCCCATACAAATTTGTTGACACAGCCCTGAAACGACATCATTTCGCATCCTGTTGCCCATCATTGCTGGTTGTTTGTCTGCAGGCTTTGCAGGGGGCCAAATCGATAGTGTAGAGTGACATTTTTCCGGTCAGAGACAATCTGTGGTGGAGCAAACTTTCAAAGTTTCTTGGCATAGTTCTCAAAGTGGACCAATAAACCCGAGAAACTACAATTGAACTTCAACTTGAGGACATTGCCATCGTCAGCAATTAGATGACGTTTCCCATTGAACACATTATTTGTGTGAGTGAGACATCAGAAAAACTCCGCCCACAGAGAAGCCCCTCCCCATTCTAATTCATTAAATCCAATCGCCTTACAGCAGTATTTCAAATTCCTTGTATACAAAATGCTTGGCTTTGCCGTACATGCCCTGTGGATGAAAAATTTCGGAAGGAGCAGGAAATTTAAATCTATCTGGCAAAATGGTTCTGATTCATTTGAATACAAGATACACAAGAGAATCTATTCACAATTTTCCTCATTCATATTTCTTTTTTGTCCGTCCGCTCGAGGGAGGACGGAGAGAAAGTAAATGAAATGGAATGTGGCAGCAGAAAAAAGAATGGATATACATATGCAATTGCGAGAATCTATAGGGAAATATTTAGGGTGTACCTTGACCAAAAGGACCCTTGTACTCGGGCTCCGGCGTACCGGTATAGCCAAAGTGAGTATATCATTGGGTCGGGAGTCTATAAAACTCCAACATTTCACCGTCCCTTCATCATTTACTCTAAATATCCGCTCCCAGTGGATCATTTTGGCATCTTGAGGCGAGGCAAATGCGAGGCCGAAATTGAAATGGTCCGCATTCGGCGGACGTGCGGGTGAAATTTTCAGGCCAAAACGGCAATGGGCATAAATCGGAATATTGCAGACCGCATATTATTTGACTATGGCCACAAGTGCATTGCATTGGGCTGGCAAAAATTCAGGATACACAATTTTTCGTTAATATTATTCAAGTCATGGCGCTGCATGACGCTGGTGGTTGATTCCAAAGTTCGCGTATACACAAACTGGCGTGGAATATTTAAGGCTTTTTCATGGCACAAAAGCCACCAGAATGGAATGTAAATTGTTACTTTAGAATTACTATAGGCAAGTGTTTCTTGCCACAAACTGCACAACTGGATGGTTGTAGAAAACAGAGAATAGGAAGCGATGTGGGAAAGAGGAACGTTAAAAGTGAATGATTAAAAATGATATCGAATTTAGATGATTTGTTATATCTCTCTCGAGAAAACTCAATAGATTTGTACAATGTCTGTGCTGTGCATCTGCTTCATTCCTGCTCTTTGTGGTTATCGAACTTATTCAATGGTTGGACAGAGAAAAAAGAGGCAAATGTGCAGAATCGAACTGAATATTCTTCAACGCTTTCCTCCTTTTTTCGACGACACGAAAAATGAAAATCAAGCCAAATATGAGCGCCGGAGCGAGGAAAGAAAGGGCGATAATCATATTCGGTTTCTTGACGAGAGCTCGAACCCAAAGTGTGAAAAGCTCAGAGGAAGAACACTCCCATCGGAACAACTTTTTTCCAGCCCAACAATGGGAACCACATTCACCTCCACCCGTTCGCCTTTTTCCTTCCTCTCGCCTTCCTCTCGTGGAATTTTTCCACTTTTGCCCTCCGTGATATACCAAATTCTCATATCCACGTTTTGCTCAAATGGCAGAAGCCAAGAGAGAGGCGCACACAGTGGCTGTGTGGTTATAAAGTCTGGGGATATTTTATTATTTCGTAAATCGAACTTAACAATTTTACCCAAATGTGTAATTCCATGGACGGATGATGAGCTTTTTATGGTCCAATTCAATCGTGCATAAAGAAGAAATTCCACCACAGGATATACTCTATGCCTGATTCTTTTATCATCCAAAAATGCCTCACATCCTCCCACTCGATACTTCACCTCGGGATTCACCCTCTAAAAGCATCCAAATTTGCTCTATTTTGACAGGATATCCCATTATCATATTTTTTTGCCAGAACACACAATGAAGAGACACATAACGTAAAATATGATGAAAATCCTGCGACAAAAGAATTCAATATCCACCCACTCAGAGGCGGAAGAAGTGGAATTGAAAATCACTTGAATTGTGTCCTTAATCTTCGATCAATAAATAGTTGTGAGCGGCGCACACTTAAAATTCCAATCAGGCGTCATTATCGAATTTATGGGGGTTCGTTAAGGAATGTCTTTTGTCTCCGAAGAGACAATTTTTAAGCAAGTTGGAGAACACAACAGAGTTATAGGATTAAATGCTGGGGTATTGGATATAAATTTCCGATTGCTTCTCTTTATTAGGATTGAGTAGAATTTTGATATTGTCCTTCTCTTGCATCGAAAAATCTAGACTACTTTTTGCAGCTTTTTTTTAACTGCAGCTTTGGCAATTGAAACTCCATCAAAATTATCTCTGAATCTCTCTTCTTTATCCATTTTTACTTGTTGAGCTCTGTTACAAATTTTCGCAAATACAGCAGATGTTATTCTAACTTTGCCAGTGAAAAGTTAACAAATTGAGCATGTTTGCAAAGAGACCAACATGTTTCTTTGAACAATACTCAGAGGGTAACTTGAAACTTAGCTGTGATATGGAAATCCATGAAGTGGATATCAACAAGTAAAGTTTTAATTTGTTCTCACAAATAATAGAGTTTATAATCAAATCTCATCATGCTCGGATATTTTCATAACAATTGTTTATAAGAAAATTTCTCCTTGAGCTCAAAATCCACTCAGAGTACTTTCTGGAAGGGAAATTGGGGATTAAGCAAGATGAGAGCGTGGAAGAGAAAAATTAGCTTCTGAATTGACACAATATGAGACAAGAATGGGGTATTTCAAGTTGGATGTATTAAAGTTTTTATGAGACTTTCTTCTATGCATCTGGAAATCTTCGGATGAAATATATTTCTGAGGAATGTGACATAACTTGAAATGTTTATGAGCAAAAGTGCTTTTCCGCTTCCCAAAGATATTCAATTTAATGGTCATCAATGTCCAAAGTGAAGGAGGCTCAATTCTCTTGGAACTCCAATACAAAGTACAATCCCAAAGGAATAATAAAATAAGCTCCTTACGGAGATAGCATGAAAGAAACTGAGGAAATAGATGAGGTTCCATATTGTCAAACATGTGAAAAGTTGCCATTGTCATCCTTTCAATGTGTAACATGACAAAGTTTTTCTCTGTCGTTTTCAAGTCATGTTTAGCATCTCAACCGAAAATTTACATATTTTCCACCCAGAGAAAATTTCCATGAATATTTACTCCTTTTATGTAATCTTGCATATAGTTCTCACGCTCTAAAAACTCACAACTTAACAACATATTCGCATCAATTAATATGCAACTCATTAACAAAAAACTTGTCGGAAATTCCTCGAATCAAGTATCACTTCTGTTCTCTCTTTTGCAGACTGGCAAGCACTTCCACCGGACATCGCTGCTGATTAAAGCATTCAATCACAAATTCCGTCTGGATTTAGAGCTAAACACGTAAGTTAAACTGATTCTGATGGTGAATCAATTCCCATTCATGTCGCATGTGTTGTCAAATACAGTGTTTTACTCCGTGTATAATTCTAAAATGAGTTTCCGGTCTGTGAGTGGCGATTTGCAAAGTCCTCTAAACAACTGTCAGTGGTATTTGCATATAAGCAGATGCTTCAATGAATATGTTTTGTCCGACATCAAACTCCGCAAATTACCCAATTCTCTCTCTTCACCAATGAAAATCTCCAATTAAATTCCCTTTTGAATAAGCTCAGCTATGTTTTGGTCATCGCGCATTCGTTTATTGAACCCTTATTCAACTAGTGTGTCACTGCACAGTCATTTCGCATGAATGCGACATTATCATTCGAAATACTTCCATTGCATAAGTGTAATAAAGATTTCTCAAATACTATTTTAAATCTTCGTGAGTGCTTCAAACCACTGAAAAGAGGAGTCATTTGAATTATAACATGTCTTTCTGAAACTCCTCGTCAAAGTTCGGGAATAAATTAGGAATTATCGGTTATGACAACTTTGCGAAGTACACTCAATGTAATTTCGATGTCACTCACCGCATTTCAATCTCCAAATGTGGACTTCTAGACACAGTAAATAAATGGCTGTTTTCCAACCGTTATTCATTCCATCGTATATTCCCTAAATTCCGGGGGGGGACGGGTGGAAAGCGAAGACATGGAGAAATTCTGTCAAGTTCCAACCCTGCTGAGGTAACCATAGGTGAAAATTCAAAGTTCACCGTACGGGAAATCAGAGAAGTTTATCGTAAATAATTTAATTTCCACGAATCTTCCAAAATTTGAGTGAGAAAAACAGTTTGTAGATATTTTAGGGTGAATTTCGAGTGGAAACTTTCTGTGGTGTCGTCTGTAAGGGTTCTGTACCTGTGTTTTTTGGTTTTCACTGCAAACAACCACAATCGTGAAGTGTATAAGGGAATAACAAATTTCACTCAACCATGAATCCATGTAGAAATATCTCGCAATATAGAGTGAGGATAGAATTTTTTGGGGTTTTATATTGGATTACATTGAGATTGATTTGAGTAGTATTGAAACTGACTAGGATTTTGTGTATAAAGAAACGCATTTACTCAATATGACCAAAATATCAGCTTAAGTAACTTCAATTACAAGCTTAAATGGTTAGTTAACAAATTACTTCCTCATTAGCCTCAGCTTATACTTGAGGATTAAGTTAAAATCTGTGTTTAATCCGTATTCACATACTTTCAACATTAAAACACAAATTCTGCGCTTAAAATCACGCCAAACTTTCAAAGGATCAGAGAGCCAATTAATTAAAATTTACGAGAAATCTCTTAATTTTGCTATAATAAATTTAACGTATTTTGCAACCCATTTGATGAATGCCACAATTGTTTTACAAGGCGTTACCACATTTTCTCTTCGCCCAGAAAAAAAGCTGAGGAGAACACAAAAAGTGTGTGAAAAAGTGGCATGAGGGTGACTTTCTTCGTACGAATTAAACTTTTTCCCAGACGTGAGATCATATAATTGCTGACAATTTAGAAAAACGTGAGTGAAATAAAAAAAACGACTATTTGTATTTAACAGCTGTTACAACTTTCTTTCGTGCACAATTAAAATTAATGAAGGCTAAATGATTGGGGCTGCTTTATGTGCCTGGAAATGGGGAAAGTGTTCCACAATTGAGAGGCCCCAGAATGGCATTTGAAATTTCAGCACGCCAAGGCGCAAAAAGAGCCCATCAACGGCCATTTCGGCGTTCGGCCGGGGAAAAGGCCCTCCCCTGTCAAAATTGGGGACACCCAGGGAAATAAAAATAAAATTGTCAATTGCTGGAATCGGAGCTCCATTCTCTTGATGATGGTCGGGCCAGGGGAACTATCGAGCCGCCGATCCAGCAGCCAATTTGGAGTCTTTGTGTGGCCTCTTTTAGGACATGGCAGTGCATTCGTGCCGCGAGTTTTTGCGCGCGCTCCTCCCAACTTTATCATTTAATCGTGTAATGACTTTCGCATTGGAAGCGTGTATTGTGATCGTGAGTGCTCTATTTCGGCGGAAGAGGGCTCAGATATACTATGTGTGTCAAATGGGGTTTTAAATATTCATTTTATACGCACAGCGGGAGGCATGATGATTTTGCAGTTCATAAAAACAACAACCACAGTCGGTGTTGCTGCTGCGGTGTGAAATACTATTTGAGAAAGGGAGAGAGAGAATAAGCTATTAAGCTCAACGTCCGCTCTGCTTTCATCCTGTGCCTCGTCCGCCCACCCTTGCTTTGGCCCATGACGAATAATTGCAAGTGCAATTTCGTAACTTTTACCCCCTCCGGAAGGTACGAGTAAACAAATTATCTGCACGCAATTGAGCATGAAAAATCAATTTTGAGTCAAAATTGGCGGCTTTTGTGAGTTTTTTCGTCATTAAACAACGTGAAAGGGTATGTAATTGAAACAGAAAAGCCTTCTGATAGAACATCACGGAAGAAAAGCACTCTCATGCTAGATCGGATGAGCTTTTAAGCTCTAAACTCCCTGAAAAAATAAGTTCTGCTGAACACCGAACATTCAAAACGAATTTCACCACGAATTTTTATCAACCAAAATACAAATTCCACTGTAAGTGTACTTTAAATTTGACATCAAAGCCTAATCACCATCACATTAAGGGTTGTGGGTCGTGACGAGATTGCATTCAAAGGACCAGCTCCTTCTATGAATGTTTCATTAAATTTCTCCACCTGATTAGCATTTTACTTTGAAAGAAGTTGACCAAGCGAAATGAAATGCGATTGCTATAGAAGAATTGCAGTGACTGTCTCCGTAGTGGCATTTCCTTCCATTTGTTGTATTTCATCAACCTTCCTGAGTGATTTATTCGTCCATGTTCCTCCACACCACTCGAGATCGGCTTCTGTTTCTTCGCCCATCCAAAGGGTGTTGCCTTTGTTGCTCGGCAAACGTATCCACCATGTTGGCCACTTGCATTCAGCACATCGCCTTTGTGTGCATCCTCAGCTTCCCAGGCGGACCAAGAATGGGCCCTGAATGGAGCTCACAGTCAGGCATGAATGAGATGGACGCTGGGTGGAAAAAGGAGTTTTCCTTTCTTGCAGCACGACGAATGTGCGAGGCAGTATCACAATGAAAAAATATAATAGTGAAAACTGACTGAGTGTTTCTGTGCAGCCACAAATAGAGAAAGGAGTTTCTCAGGCGATGCTAGGGTGGTGAACTGGGTTGAAAGAAAAGTTGCAAGGACCATTAAAGATGTATAAAAACATTTCGCGTTGCAAAGTTGGAGAGCCATACATGAATAAAAGTTTCCCCGCGCTGATGCTGGAGGAGTCTATTCCGCAAGAGCACTTTTTCCCCCCCATTTGTGGTTGCTAATTCACAAGAACTTGATGCATTCACATATGGCTTTTGTCTTCAGCTGCGATTTTGTCGAGAGGAGTCCGGTATTTGCGTGTACGCGCATTTCATTCAAATTACTTGAGGAATTTTCTGTGCCACGATGAGTGAGACGTAAATGGAGGCAGAGTCACTCATTGACTAAGTTTCTGGCGGAGAGCAGTTGGAATTCGAAAAGATGGGGGTGCGAAACAATTAAATTTAGAGCTGAGGTGTATGACTTAGACGGATTTTCGCAGCGCAAAACACTCCCACTCGTTTCGCTTTCTTCAAATTGAAATTCCCACCGAACCGGATGATGCTGATACGGAAATGCCTGACGAGAGCTACAATCTTCAGCTTTCAGTGCCTGGTTCTTAATTAGTTTTAAGTTTATAATTGGAATTATGGTTATTAATTAAAAGTTCCGGTCGTGGTCTACATTCCTAACTATTAAATGTCAAGGAAATGCGTATTGAAGCGGTAAAATACCTTTTGCTTTCGCCTTCACCGAATTCCACGTGTCGCAAGTATCGGGAATTCTTTTGATGCTGAGATTATGTCAATTGGTTTCCATCCTGAACAAGTTGAGGAATGGGAAAAAGTCATAAGAAGGCAAATTATATTGTTTTCATAAAACTTTTTATATGCTGTGCACAGAACTGTGTCTCTGTGTGCCAAAGTATATGAAGAAACTTTACTCCCCAGTGAAAACATTTGTAAGGAATTTTATTCGAAGCCAATATATTTTTATTGAAATAAAAATTACCCCCAGCATGGATACATAAGGGTTAGGATTTTGCCTCATGAAGGGTGAAATGATGTAAGCAAAACAGAACTTTTTCATATGAAAATACATATGCAAATATGTGTGAATGACAGTAGATATGTAATTCGGATAAGAACTGAGCAAATATGGCTTTGACTACTTTTTTGGTTTCAATCAGATTAATTGAATTCAAATCGTTGAACTTGTCAAAATTTCTCCGTTTCCACGCATTTAGCATCGAGAATTTCTCCTGTCGAGTGTATATATTTAACTAAGAGCCTCATTCAAAAATATTTATGTGGCGCACAGTACATTAGGCAACTGCCGCTTAAATGGTGCTTTGGGAAAAGGAGATCATAGATTTATGGCGAGGCATGAAGGTGGGTGAACTTCGTGTCCATGCCTAAAGCAGGCGGTATTCTCCAGTGTAAGTAAAGTGTAATTCGAAAAGATTTTCCGCCAGTTGAGGGTGTTTTCATGGGTACTGCGCGTGAATTCCAAGGAAGGCTTCTCATGCCTCCCAAAACACCCACTATACATCACATTCACCACGAATTTGCACAAATCGCTGAGCATACAAATTTCACATCGTGTCTAATAAAGATATTTAAAGGATTTCCCATTTCCGTTGGCCCGCATTTGGTTTGCGTCGTTGTTCTGCGTGTTGTCAGAAATGAGAAACGTTGAATGAGAAAAAAAAGGTACAGAACAGCCACTGCTGCCACCCATGTATTATTTATGCGCCGGGATTGGGAGTGTGGGATCGGTTGTGATACTTTCCCCAGCAATCGTGAACATTTTTCCCTATCCTGCGCTTATCATGTAAATTACAGGAAAAATTCTACAGATGTAATGCTTATCTCGTCGCAAAATTCTCCACTCACCATAAATCCTCTCCCTGTGGTTCTCTATATTGGCATATATTTATTCTGATCCATTAATTCTTCTATCTTTCCATCCATTAGAATCTTATTTTGTAATTTGGCGATGAAAAAAATTTAAATAATCCCCCAAAGTTTTTCTCTTAGACCAAAAAATAATCAATTACGATAACAATGGCACATGAAAAAGTAATCGGAGCTGTTTAACTTTCACACACAACAGTATTTCTTTTGATCTAATCTCTCACATTCTCAGCATTCTCATTCATTTCACATTAATTTTGTGGCAACGCGTGACAGGAAATTCCTAATGTCCACACAACAGTTCCTTCCTGGGATGCGAGACTTTCGAATTTGGAAGGACTTTCGCCAAATTAATCCGCCAACGCCAATTTAGATTGATTCTCAAACAGAGTACAAAATACTCCATTCATCAACATTGACAAAATACTCATTTCGGTTATCAACAAATTTTCAAGTGAATTTCTTAGGCGAATTCCCATCAGAGTTGACTTACAAAGACCTCATGCTTGATACTGAGAAGAGCGCAAAGTATTCAGTATATCTTTTTCATGGAACATCACTGTAGCGCAACTTTCAGTTTGCAAGTTCAATATTTGCCAATGGAACTCGGAGACGTTGGCGAAAAGGAAATTCTTTCGCGAAGAGATATTGAATTTCAATGAAATTGCTCTTTTCCGTTCTCATGGCATTTTTGGCGTAGGCATAGAACGGGTGAGGATAAAGTGCGTAGGATTAGAATTACTCTTGGCTTCTGGAATTTTCAATATCTATAATGGATTTAACACTAATTGCATTATGAACTGAAAAGGATTTTCCCTAAATGGAGATACAATAAAACTTTGAACGGAATTGATGATTTCTGTCCCAAAATTTGACCTGTAAAGTTTCAATCAGCAGAAGTTAAAACATATATTTTGCAAAATGTAATCAGTGGTGTGATTTCAATGCCACATATCGTCACTATGTGACAACAACACAACCTTCGGAAAAAGTAAATCCACAAAAAAGAACACACTTTTCCGTGGATTGAAAATTCTCAATATAAATTAAATTTTTCAACTTTATCCCTCATGATGTTAGTGAGTGACATGCTGAATATAAAATCAATACAATCTCCTGCATGTTCTGTAGCTCGTTTCCCATTATGGAAAAAGTTGAAATTCTCTACAACACGAAAATACGGCAAATTTTTCACACATCATTTGACGTTTCCGTCAATTTTCCATGAAATCCATTATGAAAATGGGTGTAAAATTGAAAAATTAATCTCTCACAATTTCCATTTCCTGGGCACACTTGTAATCACAGGTTTTGCCCTCGATATCTATGCCAAAGGATTGCATTTAACCCTCCATGAAGAATGTGACGGATTAAACATTCATTTGATGCAACCTCTCATCAGTTATAATCTTTCGTGTATTTCACACCTTCGCTGAGCAAATATTTGCACTTCCGAGTCATCTCTTGCGTGGTTCTCCGCCCACAAATTCGCTCGACAAACATAGTCAAAATTATCTATAGAGACGTAAATCGTTTGCATAATGTTGCATATGGATATTTATCGGTTTAAAATGTTTTCACAATAGTGGTATTACATGAAAATTGAGTTATATTACTTCCACTCAAAGTATTACAAAACATACATTAAATAAATTGAATAATGCAGAGTTTGAAATAGAATTTAATACAAAATGCTTGTTATTTTGTCAGGAAAATGCAGTTATTACCAAACACCAATACACACTTCTTGTTCATCAGGATTATACAGGATACTTTTTTGCTATAGTTTGTAGTGATATGAGACAATTGCCTCAACTTAAATACTCTTTAAGCCTGAGCAAATAGCGAAATGGGAAATTCTCCACGGGAAATTGTTGGCATTGTCATTCAATGCGAATCACTATTGGATTGACCTCCATTCCTACTGCCTTATGGCGACCTTTCGCCAAGATAATCTGATATAGACAGAAAGGACAAGGCATAAGATGGAAATTAGAATAGTGGATGGAGAAAAGAGTGTAGTTTCTCTGCAGTGAGAAATTAAGTCGTTCTATTTGATTATGCTGCCTTCGTTTTTAATTTCCGGCTTCTTTGTGATTCACCCCAATAAACTGATGACTATCACAGACAGATTAGGCCGACAAGACTTGAAATTTACTGAGTTGTTTACGAGACATTGCAAAACTCAGTCAATTGAAACTTGAGGAATTTTCACTGTTGGACAAATGAACTATTTTCCGAGAAAAGTGAAGCCGCATTGGTGAAAATTCCACTCAGCACAGCAAACATTGCAGTTTACTTTCTAAATTGCCACACACACACACACACTGCAAGCTAATTGTTTAAACACATACGAAATGAAATGTCGTAAGCCGATAATATGAAATTTTCACCCTTTTGTTTATATCAACAATTTACACTATAAAGTGACACAAACATACGCTGAAATCGCTCTCAAACAGCAGCAAAGAATGGAAATTTTAGCGAAAAAACTTTGCAATAAAGCTAATTCTAGGAAAGATGCCCACTTTACTCACGTCAATTGCAAAATTAAGAAGGAATCTTTAATGATTTAAAGTAATTGTTTTAGAAAGTATTTTTCGCCCCCAAATCTACTTTTTAATGGGCACCAAAATGCTTTTAGCCACCGTTTTCTGGCCTTCCCATCGGCAAAAGGAAAGCTCATCATGGGCACTCAAAGCTGGCGGAAAGCTAACATGAGGATGTGGAAGTAATATTGAATGGGTGGCGCGGAAAAAATACACACGGAGAATGGAGAAAATCGAGTAAATTTCGTTATACAGTCAAACTTTTCTATTAAATTGTGCCATTTAAATAAATTTAAGACCACCCTCGTCACGGGAATATCTGCATAATTGTACATAGCACAGATAGAGAGGAGAGATATCTTATGCTGTGGAAAGAAAAAAGACCATAGAAAAGAATGGCTTTATCCGCGCTTTCACCCCCTCGAAGAACATGGAAAGACAAAGAGAAGAGAGCCCAAAGTTTTTTTTCTCACGATTCCAGGAGAAACTGATGAAATGATAAAAGTTACTTTTACACATTGGAATTTCTATAGTTGTGTGAGATAAAACTGCGCTATTACAGTAATAAAAAAATGTGTGAGCAATGTTGCTGCACAGTGAAACTCTAGCTAACAAAGACTCTTTCTAACATTACAGGCAACTTTTGGCGCCAAATATGATGCAGAAGCACTATCTACCCACAGGATATCCCCAGGACTCACATAGGGTAAGAGCTGTTTTAATGAAATATTCAAGTAAGAGATGGTAAATATAGAGCACAAAATCGAAAGGAATTTCTGATAACAACGAAATATCAATTTATTTGAATAATAATCAGCTTTTCATACACCATAATTTCGAACTGAAAATCAACTATGTGCTCACAATAGAATAAACTAGCGCTGGAAATAATAAAGCATCCATAATTATTTACCAGTGCTACGCATTATTTTCTGTTACAATAGTTGCCACACAGTGAAAGAGCCTCATTATATTGTTTTAACTGCTATAACGATGGTAAATTAATAATCATGAACCGAGGCAAGAGACTGAAAATGTTACACGCATTAAAGTGCGACAACTCATGATAAAAAACAACCCTTTCTCGACCTTTTTGCGCAAACCCAACCCAATGTAATTCGGCCCACATCAGTTCAGGGCAGAGCCTAAACAAAGAACATTGATGATTGCCAATATGAGGATCAATTCTGACAGCCAAATTAAATCGTGTCGTGATTGATGATTGAACATTTGACACTGTGGCAAAAACTACATATAATTTGACTAAAGAATGGCATAAAGTAGGAAATAATGTGACAGTTCACACACATTCTGTTTGTTTTTCACCCACATTGGGGAAAATATTGCCTTTTTTTGCCCACTTGACAATAAGACCGAAATGCGGATTCTTATCGTGGGTGGAATTATGGCGTGTGTTTATCAGATCGGTAATTCATTTTAATGGCACAAAGAACGTGAATCATAGCAAGAAATTCATCATCGTCCAATTAAGATGTTACATCCAAGGACTTTTACGCAGTGTGGAATTTTATTGAAATTTTTTCGCCCTCAACAAGAAATTCTTCATTAAAATTCATTGGATATCCCACCCAGTAATTGTCACACATTAAGGGTTGATCTCGCCAGTGAGACTGTGTGAAATTACTCTTTTGAAATTGCATTTTTCATCTCAGGCGAAACCAGAGAAAAATGTATGTGGGTGAACGAGGTTTGCCCTGTGTGCAAAATTCACAACTGCAGAGGTGAAATTAAATTGCGATTATGAAACATCTCCCCGTAGAATCATTCACTTGAGAGCAATACTCCGTATTCCATACAGAAATCTAGAGCCAGAGATGCTTTAAATCTCAATTAAAGTTTTTGCCCCTTTTTAATTACAATTTAATTAGGTTTTCTGCAACCCCTTTCGCATCTCCAACCCGTGCACTCTATTTATACGCAACTGCCACAAAACAAAGGCTCATTTCAAGGATCTGCATATGTACATATTCCCGTACATAATTTACATGCATATATACAGCGAGAAGAGGAGAATTTATATAGAGTTTGTTGTACATTACACACGCATACACGGAAAATTGGCGGTTGTGTATTCAGAAAGTCAGTCGATACAATGACAAAGTGAAACTTTATTTTCGTAATTTCACCCTCACTTCCCAGACTCCACTTTCAGAAGCTATATATGCAATTTGCAGTAAACTCATTATTACTTCAACAGCCTTTACATTGAGTAAATCTCAAAGGAAATTAAAAGTAGTCGAGACAAATTCAACTACAAGAGTGAAGTATCTCAGAACTCACTTTGCGTTTATTTTTGAATTTCACTGAGCACTTTATCAAAGTTTGACTCGAAGTTTAAAAGGAGACAGCTCAGGTATAAAACACGACAGAGAAATACCGTAAAAGTATAAAAGAAGCAGTTAAATTTAGTCTCTATGCTGACATCAATATCATTAAAATCATTAAACATTTTCCTACTTTCCTATTTGTCGTGTAATATGTTTTAAATAGTCCAAAAGTTTTATATGTTTTCATGTAATCAGCCAGAATGTTATCACCCGTGGAAGTCCGAAAAGTCGATTTTCATATAATTCACACGCATATGTATTGCATGGTATTCCGGATTTACACACCCTTTCATTTGCGATCACTGAGTAAGAAATCCGTAAAGCTCTTTATCAAGGAATTTAAATTGCGAAATATTATGATTTACTGCTGAACAGCGCATTGCAGAGCTGCCAGAACTCAGTTACATAGTTAAAATGTCATTTTAGAATAGAGAATTGAGCCTCTGACCGAATCAATGAACATCATTAGTGGAATCAATTCGCCGGAAATTCATTTGTTATCCCTCACCACGGAATAATCCTCATTTGAATATTATATTAAACAGAACGAAGAGTTGCAAAGCGTATTATAAATTTTATATGTACTCCACCATTTGATGCAACACTGTGCATGTGTAATAAACATATCAAAAAGGATCACGCAATGTGGGAAGGGGCACAGCTTTGTGCGAGTGAGGCATTCCAACGAGGGAAAAATGACAGCGATTGGACGTCAAAGATACACATAAATTCACTGGACTCGAGACTCAGCGATTGAATTTGTCTGCTTGCAGGAAATTGAGCACTGCTACTATCATGGAACTGTGAAGGATTATCCAGGTGCCAGTGCAGCCTTTCACACCTGCAACGGTGTCTCCGGAGTCATTCACGTGGGCAACGAAACGTTTGTTATTCACCCTTTCTACGGTGGCGATCTATCGGTAAGTTTTTCCTCTTCCAATGCCCAGAAAAACACAACTCTCCCTCCAAGTGCCATAGCTTTAAACCCTTCTTAGCACACACATTATCTCCCACTCTCGGCGTCATGGGCGTTCCTGTAATCTCGAAACCCAATTTAACTCTCACGTGAAATTTCTAGTCAATATAATATCGCCCATCCCAGAACACAGACGAGGCAAGTTGAAATTCAAAACCCCAAATCCTATTATTATAAAGGCAAGTGCTTAGAGACAAAATATATCTGATAAACTCACGTGTATTTATACATATATACAATCCATACTGTTGATGGAGGGAAATTCATCAATTTTCATAAAAGGGATCCCCAAACTCTATGAGATAGATTGAGGTTTTGCGAAAATCCCCACCGAACCTGTGTACTATTTCAAAATTTGAGATACAATTCCCGAACTTTGAGCCAAAGCAAAAGTTTTACGACTATAAAAAGCATATCCTGACCAGAGATTATTCCACTGGTCATGCACTGTTTTGTCCACTTGGGAGGATTCTATTTAGGAAATTAATTTGCAAAGTAGTTTGTACAATTGTCTATTGAGAGTACACCTGAATTACCGTGCAGAATTATTATTTCTCCGACGATAAATGCATAGAAAATATCAACATTTTCCTCGCAAATTTCATACTCTACTCCATCTAACATAATCCAATACAAGGATATCGATTTGCAGTATGAATGAAGGTTTAATTGTATATCAACAAATTGTATTGGGTCATGTGTGGTAGAACTAATTCTACACCTCAAGCCTTCAATTGAAAATGCTGACAGTGCTTGTTTGAAACTGTCATACCATCCACAAATTGCGTATCCTACATGTCCATAGCATTTGCTCTGCGAGTTCCTTAGTTCAACTTGGCATGAACGCTGCATTGGATTGTCATTCCGTCTTGTGAGATTAGATCCCCAAGACATTCCCTACGTTCAAGAGGGGAGTCTTTTGTGAGATCCGAGATGCTGATTCCGACACAATTGTCATGCCATGATGCTTCAGCTCGTCTCTGTCCAAAATTAAACACTCTCGACCTTTGAGCGCACGTTTAAGGAGAGAATGAGAACCGCCGCATTGTTTAACACTATACAAAATGCACTCCAATGGTGCATTTATGTATGTATTCTTTGAGAAATGCAATTAAAACCTCATTCCTAGCACACTTTCGCCTCACCAAGAACTCTGTGGAGCTTTATTAATTTCAAAATCGGAATTCCACCCTGTCACACTCAACATTCCCCATCTTCGCCATCATCTGCGATGGCGACTACAGTGAGGAGTGGAAGCAAGTGGCGGAGAACACACAAGAAAGGAAACGGAGGAAAATGCTGAAATCACAAATGATTGAGGGATTAATTGCAAGAATCGATTTTGGTTGTTTGTCGTATGCGATGGTGATCTTTCAATTCTCACCCCTTCTTCGGCGTCTCACCACCTGCCATCACGTAAATTGAAAGCTCCCTGCACGCCCAGGAAAATCGATAGTCATCGAGAAAAAGAGCATGAAGTTCATGCTGAACAGTTGCATGTTTTTCTATTTGAACAGCGAACTCTTTCGCTATCTAACCGCATAATTGTTTTGATAACTTCATCGCCAAATGTAACGTGCTCGAAAACCATCGTGAATTTAAACACTTTTGCTCCTTCACTCTAATTAACAAATCACCCAAAGCGTGTACGCCAAAGTTACATACACTTAATTATTGTTCCAAAACATTTTTGCCTCTCCAAATCCATAACTTTTGTGTAAACATTTGTTCCCCGAATGTACACCACACGCATGGTAAATATTATAATGGTTATCGTTAATTAAAACTCCATCATAATTGATAACGCGTAAATTTTCAAACATTTTCTATGCTTCCACGTGTAGTTTATATTTTGTGCATAAATTGATGTCATGTAGCAAAGCAGATTTTCTCTATTTTAACCCTTAATTAATGATTTTTCAACAAAAAGCTAGCAAATTGGCAAAATTGTAATTATTTTGAACAAAAGTCGAAGCATCGAAGTTAAAAACATTACCGGATTAAATAAACATTAATTACTAGAAAATCATATTTCAATCAATTTTCAACATTTTGTGCTGAATTGAAACCAAATTGAGCTTTTGCAAAGCCTTAAAGATTTTCCCACCGAGTGATGAGCCATTTGTCTCATAAATTAGTTCACTGGCCATTTTTCACATCTGCCACATGAGCTTTCATTCTTGTGGCACACATAAAACACCCAAAGTGTACACAATAGAAAGAAGAAAAACACGAGAAATCTCGTGGTGAAGCAAACAGCCAGCGACAGGATATAAGAAAGCTCTATTCTTTTCGCCATAGCGTTTGCTTTTCCCCTCAGCTGAGCCATATCGTGTGCGGAAAATAAGCAATTCAATTGACTGGCGTTAATTCAAATAAAATTTGTGCTCCTCAAATTATATTCCACTTGAAACATTTTCCGCTTATGGAATCTCCTCACGACATCATATAATGTGCGAATAGAGCATCATTCTCTGTATTTACTCGCCTTTTCATTCACATATGAAGGATGCGCCATTCTTTCGCGCGCAAAAAGGAACAACTTGAATTTCGATCTAGCGCAACCTCTTCAAATTTACTCCCATGTCTGCTTCCGGGGCTTCCGGCCTAGCTTCGGAGCATCGAGAATGTGTAACGCACAATCAACAATAAAATTTTATATCTCAGGATTCAATCAATATTATATGAGTATTAAATAAATGCCTCTGCTCGTGGCCCTCATTGGAAATTCAGTGAGCATTCCGCCTATAAAAAAGTAAAATGTAAACCAAAAAGAGAGCATGAGGATCTCTCTCACTTTCTCATTTAGAAAACCATACAAAGGCGCTCACTTTCACAGGATACTCATCCATATTCCCATTTTCCATACAGCAAAATTCCCTGCCATATTCCCGACTAACAAGAACTAATGCTTCTATAGAATAGTTTCCTATTCCAACACTTCTCGCTATCCCTGGATAATCCGCTATTGCAAATATGCAGGAGCACGTATGGAAAATGCAATGAATTGTAGCTTGATTTCTACATATCTATCAATTTTTGTATTCTCCACTATCACCATTTGCATAAAACTCATTCGAGACTGACGAGTGGCTGTGAATACAATTAAATGATTAAACGAACTTACCAAGTGAAGTTCTATCATAATTGTACGAAGCTCCTCTTCCGAGATGATCAACTTTGTAGTAGTCCTTCTACTCCAGCCGATTTTGCACACGTTTCGTAGATAATTTTGAAAAATTATCCGCCACTTATCCAACAGTGGCGCTGGCGCTGCCACGAATGTCATTATTTTAAAGTTGTATAGGCCGTAACAATTATTTAGGGTTTATAAATATAGGGAATTCTGGGTGGGTATGATCATCTCGGAAGAGGAGCTTCGTACAATTATGATAGAACTTCACTTGGTAAGTTCGTTTAATCATTTAATTGTACTCCGCTCCTCTTCCTCGATGATCAACTTTGTAGATGTTCAACGCGATGTTACGGCCGCGAAAGATAAATTATATCCATGAAATTTGATTATTGATTTTATATTTCATAGATTAACTTCAGCTTAGATCTTATTTCTAACAAGATTTTTTCTTTAGAAATTCATCCCTGTAGGATTACATTGGCAAAGGATTCCTTGTTGTTTGCCAATGGTAAGTTATAAAACTTGACGAAAGTATGTGAATTCATTGTCCACCCAGCAGTCTTTTTAATCACTTCAATATCTAAACCCTTTCTATTTGCCGCCGAGGTGGCAGCATGACGTGTAGAATATCCCGAGAAAACAGTAGTGTCGATCTCACACTCTTCCAGGACATTCTTAACCCAATGACTGAGAGTTTGGGCGCCTACTAATTTATGTGGACGTTTATGTGATATAAAAAGTTGTTTTTCTGCGCCTCTTAGTTCATTTGTTTTGCTCAAATAATGTTTAAGAGTCGACGCCACACATAATTTGGGTTCTTCATTATAGAATGGGATGATTAATACAGGTTGAGATCGGCCAACACTTGACGTCTTGATTCTCTTTGGAATCCTTATTTCAATTCTCTCTTCGGTCTCTCTAATATCCTCGATATTTATCAATGAGAAAGTCTGCATTCGATGTCCCGTAATAAGAGCCAGGAGGATTATCAATTTAAATGATAGATCTTTAAGAGTTAGTTCCGCATTGATGGGTTTCTGCTTATATAGCTCTAGCACGACTTTAGGATCCCACGTACTATCGTATTTTGGCTTACTGGGCCTGATTCTAACAACTCCTTTGAAGAATCTTTTTAATCCTTCATCTTGGGCCAACCAAGATCCAACTATCATCGATAGGGCTGATCTATATGAATTTAGCGTACCATAAGAGACTCCCTTGTTAAATTCAGTAGTTAGAAAACGAAACACACTTTCAGTATTCGTTTCAAAGGGGTCCAAATTGTTGTCTGTGCAGAACTCCCACCATTTTTTCCATCCTGTGTTGTACTGCTTCCATGATGACTCCGAAAGAGATTGTAGGACTATCTCATGACTCTCCGACGGGATTCCTTTCCTCTCGCAGCTCTGCTTGACAAGACTCCTGCCACCAGGGTAACTCCTTCCCAAAATTGCATTTGCCTGTCGACGGAAATGATACATGTATCAGCTTGAAATTCTAATAGTTCCGAAATAAGCATCGATTGGAAGATCGGAAACCATGGCTGAGTTGGCCAGTAGGGTACAACAACGATCCCTTCGGCTTTATCATGCTCGATTTTTTGCAAGACTCTCAATATTAGAGAGAATGGAGCAAATGCGTAAAAGAAATAATCTTTCCAGGAAATTGTAAATGCATCTACTGCTATCGATTGAGGATCTTTCTTCCATGACACAAATTTCCTGCATTTTGCATTTACTCGTGTTGCAAAAAGGTCAATCTCAGGCTGTCCAAATTCCGCGACAATGCAATTAAACGCTGAATTCGAC